ACTGGCAGCTGATTAAGCAGGAGGCCCATGTAGCTGTTATGTTAGATGAGCTTGGGTTTGGTCTGACCCAAGCTCATCCCCACTCCCCTCTAGATCAGCAGTCTTCAGCACTGGAATTTCAGCATACATTTTATTTATTTTTTCCACCATGAGAGTCTCGTGTTTTTGTACCTATTGATTTTTGTTATTTTATGCTAATTTTAATACAGGATTTTGTAAACCTCGCTCTGATAGGTTGGTATGAATTATTCATTTAAAGTGTTTATCCAGCCAAAACCTTTTTTTTTTGTGAAGGATTAGAACCCCTCCCAGGTTTTTTAGGGCTCCATTAGGCTGAGTTCACATGGGTGGTGATCTTTACCGCCCCTCTGAAAACTGACCCACTGTGTATTGCTTTTCAGAGATGGTTGAGCGGCGGTTTGCTGGCATTCAGGAGGTGATACTGGTGCTTCCTGAATTCCTGTTTTTTCATTCTTTCTATCCCAAGGGGATTTTTTTTATTAAAGGAGAACTATGGGGTCAGGGCTTTTCCCCATAGTTCTCCTTAGGGTAACGGGAGGACGCAAACTAGCGTCCTCCCGTTACCCTAAGCTCAGTATACCGCGAGCTACAACTCGCGGTATACTGAGACGCCGCAGCCGGAGCGGATCCCGACCTGGACGTCGGGATCCCCCCAGCTGAGTGACTGACAGCTGGCTCTGCCTATCTAGAGGCAGAGCCAGCTGTACCCGCCCCCTCAGCACTGGCAGATCGGAGCGGGGAGAGGGGAATCCAGCCCCTCCCCTGTCACGGCAGAGAGCCGTGACGGGATGGAGAGGTGAACGAACCCGGTATGTGTTCTCTCGCCTCCCGATCTACTGAGCCGACCTGTGACAGTCTTATTCTCACAGGTCGGCTAGAACTATGAGGTGAGTGGAAATCACTCATCTCATAGTTCTCCTTTAAAGTACTGTTCCACCACCATGAGCCAAGTGTCTGCCGTAAGGTTGTGGAGTGGTCACATTGATTTTAATGGGTGTGTTTGGCAAGCAGTACTGCCTGCCAAACGTGACACGCTGAGTTAAGATTGCAAACCATCATGCTCATGGCAATGTGTACAAATCCCTCCGGTAGCCATGTTAAAGTGTGGCTAGGTGGTAAGTGGGGCGGTAAAAATACATATCAACCATTTTTATCGCCCCTTTGCCGCCCGGGTAAACTCAGCCAAAGAGAGTCACTTCCTGTCCTGTTGACAACATTTTCATCAGTCAGGAAGTAGGGGAAAATGTGCACCAGCACCACAGACAGAAATAAAAAGCTGACAAGGGTTATTAACCTTCCCCACTCTATCCAAAATGTAAAAAAAAAATGTTTTTGACGGATATAAAGACATATATACAGTACTGTATGTTCCCTACTCCAGTAAAAAAAAGTATTTTTATTTGTCCCTGTTGTAGATTTTCTCTCACTTCCTGTCTGGTCAAACCGTGAGTGAGTAGAAGTCTCTCTAACGGAGCCCCAGATAGCAGTGAAACCCGGAGGCACTCTTAATCCCTTCCCACTCTATGCGAAATGTAATAAAGAGTTTGGGCTACACTTGCGTTTTTAATGTAGAAGTCATTTTCACATATAGTCAAAAAAGAAAAGAACATTGTGACTGTATTTTATCGACAAAGGAAACCTTATTATTCTCTTATCAGCCGTGGTCCCGGAAATGCGTTAGCACATAGCAGTCGGGACAGAGAGACATATTGGCCTGTGTCCTGGTGTATTGTTCAACCCCTCATACACGGCGGCATAACCGCACTTGTGATCACTCATCGTTTGTGAGAATAATCAAAGACAATTTGAACTTATAAACAAAATAAAGTGATTTTTACACTAGTGTAGGCACCCTGTCTGGTTCTGTTTTCAAAGGTTGTCCAGTCTACCTGTCAGGGTACTAGGGGGCTTACCTCTCCTCGGGGTGGCCATGTGCGGCGGGGGGCCCGGGTTCCCCTTCCTGGCAGGACCCCTGGTACCAGGATTGTGGGTACGCATTCGCGACAAGTGCGCGTGCGCGGTGGACAGGCTGTGCGCGCAGGCACGGGGACATGCACGTAGTGCACCTGTTACTGGTATCAGGTGTGATCCTTGCTGGGGGAGGTTCCTAGCACACACCCTCTGCCCCTCTCTCGCCATTGGCTCCTGATGGAGAGGCTACCTGGTTGCCTCGGTAGCCGGGGAGTGGTCTCAATCCTCCACTGAGTATAAAAGCCCAGTCAGAGCCCTGGCTCATTGCTGAGTTATTCTATCCCTATGGTGTGATCTCCCAGCTCCCTGTGCCTTGAACCTGTCTTTATTCCTGAACCTCTGCTTGGACTCTTGATTACCGACCCTTTGGCTTACCCTTCCGTTACTGAAACTAGCTGCCTGCCTCGACCCGGATTGGACCTGACTATTCTTCTTGGATTTTCCCTGTGTACCACGACCTCGGACTTTGGCTTGCCGCCCCTGCCAAGGGGTTCCACTCACGGCCCAGCCGTACCCCCCTGACACTACCTGACTGTCAACGGGGATGCCTCCAACAACAGTGGTTCATACTTAAAGGGGAGTCATTCAGGTCTTGTGGCGCTAATGTGGAATGGTGTGGTTTTAGGCAACGGAAACAGTTTGCCAGAAGAACCTTTAGAACCTGGTGTTTTGTTGATTGATTTGGGTTACCGCACGCCACTCTGGGTATGGTATCTCGATGGAATTTCAACATATGTGCAGCATTAGGGTGCACCTGTGTAGAATGTAAAACCTCTTGTCTCCAGCACAGTCATACAGACACAAGATTGTTCCTCTTTAAAGGTAACCTCCTGTTCCACAATTCAAGGAATGTAAAAAGTTTTCTGTTTATGAAAGGTATTTAGAGGAAGTGACTGGAGAACAGGAACAGAAACAATGAGTTCTCTTTAGGGTTGTGGATTTCTTGGCACATCAATGCCTATAGAGCAACTCTAAAATGATATGTCACCAGAACATTTAGAACTGTTGTGGTCTTCCAACCATGAGGACACAGGTTGGGGAAAGTCCTTTTCTGTTTCACCATGACTGTGTACCTGTGAACCAAGCCAGCTCACTAAAGACATGGTTTGAGGAATTTGATGTGGAGGAATTTGAGTGGCCTTCACAGAACCCTGACCTCATCCTCCACTGAGCACCATTTGAGATAAGTTGGCCCCATGTCTTTTCATTCAGCTTCAGTACCTGATCTCATTAATGGGCACCAATTCCCACAGACACACCAAAAGCTTGTGGAAAGCATTCCTAGAAGATTGGGGGCTGCTATAACCGCAAAGGGGGGGGGGGGGCTACTCCATATTAATGCCCATGGTTTTGGAATGGGATGTCCAACAAGCTTATATAGGTGTGAAGGTTAAGTGTCAATAAACATTAGGCCATGTAGTGTACTTTCTGTTTTAAGATGAATCTACTGTCTTTCACACTAACTGGTTCAGTGGAGGGATTTTTGGTTCCTTTTTAGTCCACCTCACCACAACTTGTTGGGTTATTCTTTCTTTCTTTTTAAAGGAGAACTATGAGGTGAGTGCTTTTCACTCACCTCATAGTTCTAGCCAACCTGTGACAATGAGACTGTCACAGGTCGGCTCAGTAGATCGGGAGGTGAGCGAACACATAGCGGCGTTCGCTCACCTCTCGATCCTGTCACGGCTCTCTGCCGTGACAGGGGAGGGGCTGGATTTCCCCCCTCCCCGCTCCGATCCGCCAGCGCTGACTGGCGGAATGGACGGGAAGGGGGCGTGTACAGCTGGCTCTGCCTCTAGATAGGCAGAGCCAGCTGTCACTCACGCAGCTGGGCGGATGTCGACATCGATGTCGAGCTGTAGCTCGCGGTATACTGAGCTTAGGGTAACGGGAGGACGCTGGTTTGTGTACTCCTGTTACCCTAAGGAGAACTATGGGGAAAAGCCCTGACCCCATAGTTCTCCTTTAAATACACAGCTGAAAGTGTAATCTTCTCCCTTGGATCTCCCAGCAGGCCCTCGGGCTGGCTGTTTTCTAGTCTTTTAGCTGTGGCACCAGCTCTGCACTAATAGTAGAAAGCTCTTTGATGTGGGCTTGAGAGGCTTTGATTGACTGCTGTTACGGAGTAGCAGGGTTAGCTGACCTGTTGAGCGACTGACAATTCCATTAATAGCTCCACAGTGCATACTGCTAAGAGTTTGTAAGGTAGGTAAGGTAGGTAAGAGTTTGTTTTAAAGCTAATTTACTGCCTGGGGTGGAATATGTAAATATTTGAATGTCCAGCCTGGCCACAGGTTCAGTTTACAAATGCTGCTGTTATATAGTATTAGAAGCTTATTGGATAGCCTTGAATTCAGACAGTCACCTACCTTATCATGGGGGGAGGTGAAATGCATCACACACCCGCACAGTATCTTAGCTGACTTCATAATGGCACTGAACGCTGTGCACTTCTTCAGCCACTTCTTAGTTATCAGTTTCTGGAAGTGTGGCTGTAAGAACATCAAAGAAATAATCAATAATATTATAAATGGCATTGACTGACTGAATTGGTGAAAATGTTCTGTTGGTATCCAAGGTAAAGTATCTTCCTCAGTATTGCATTGGTTGCTCGGCTACTAACAACTGGGCTGCAGAGCATGATTGCTTGCTAGCCCTGCAGGGTGCTCACTTTAACAGCCAATGCTGGTGCCCTAGCAACCCAGCTATCCCGATCACACAGAATCATAGGTTGCTAGGACACGAGTGGCTGGGCTGCACTGCGATACTGGTTGCTAGGATGTAGGCGGGTGCATCATAGCAAACATGTGGGCAGAGGCATAACTATAAATCACAGGGCCCAAAGCAAAATTTTGTACGGGGCCCTGTGATTTCTAGTTACGCCCCTTGCAGAGCCCCCCTGAGATCCCACACATCGCAGCTGAGAGTGACCCTGCGGAACCCACCATAGACAATCTATGGTGGGCTCTGCAGGGTTTCAGGTGGGCCGGTCACACCCTTGCACACCTCTTACCTGTCAGCCCCGATCCACTGTCAACCTTCTCCACCGCCGGGCCCCACCTCCCCGACGGTCGCCGGCGGGCCCCGCCTCTTCCGCTGTCACTGCCTGAGCGGCGGCGGTGCGGAGGAACGCGCCTCTGCACAGATCACTGACCGTTTGTCAGCGATCTGGACAGCGGCGCGCTCCTCCTCACAGCCGCCAGTGACAACCAGCAGCCTGCGATGCCATAGCTACCCAGGTGGCCTGCACGGCATTAGGGGGACCCCTTTGTTCCTCGTCCTGGCCGGGCCCCCCTGTGCCCCATACCGGCCGCTTAGGTCCCTATGGCGATAGTTCCGCCACTGCATGTAGGGCTGCCTGTGTCCTAGCAGCCACTGACACTGGGTGGCTCAGTCACCAGTCAACCAGAGATGCTGTGTGTGCCGCACAGCATCATTGGTTGCTAGAATAAAGATGAAGGTTCGGTACAAACAACCCATCCATCAATATAAATATGACTTAAATGGACATGCTAATAATGGTCTCAGCATAACTCCCATATTGGAATGACCTAGGTCCCATAAAAGGTTATAATAAACATACCATACAAGGACTTGAGGGAAAGGTGTGTACATACAATGGTATAATTACTTAAGGTTGTAGTAATTATCTGTGTATTATTCTGATTTCATTGTACGTACAAACATTTCCCTGGAGTCTTTTATGGTTTGTTTATTATAACCTGTTATGTATAGGTAACTCAGGTCATTCCAGGGAATGACTAATATTGACTCCTTTTATCAGTGGACTCAATGAGCTTATTTCTTTACTGATGGGTGTAGATCATTTTAATTAATTTAATGATGCACTTGTGTGTTAATTGCATACATATGTGCTCTTTGGATACAATGTTATTACTTTAATAACCTCTTGTTGCCAGCAAAGGACGGGCTCCCCATCATTTTGACAGCCAACCACAGCGGTCACGTGATCAGAAGCCTGAACCTGATTCCCAAACATAAACGGTGGGAGCTGTCAGTGGCTGTGCTGAACAGTGGATGCATGTATGCGCAGGCCGGGTGTTAAAGCCCTGCCTCATATACAGTATGAGCTGGTCCTCAAGGTGATAAAACATGTTATATTTGTGAACACAATTAATTTGGCTCGTTTCTTGTGCAGGTTTTGTTGACATAGAGCAGAGGTAGCTCTCCAGCGTGTGGTAAGCACTACAAATCCAGTCAGGCCACTGTCTCTCTGGGAGTCTTCCTTTTGGCTATTAGAATCTTGCAATGCCCTTGTAGGATTTGTAGTTTGGCTGGAGGGACGAAGTTTGCCTACCCCTGGTATAGAGGGATATTTTTGTGGTGCGTCCCTATTTTCCATCACTTCCTGTTAGAAATACGTAGCAGCCCAGTGTACTTTTTGAATGGATACAATAAAATCACTTATAAAAAAAATAAGTCTCACCTTCGTGTCCTTTGTAAAAAGATGGAATATGTGTTGTTTGAGGGTCTCTATGGCGGTGTTTAGATTGGTTTCCGCTATCCTGCACTGTTCAGCGTCTGACTGCGTCGTGTTGTGTCTAAAAAAGAAAAGTTCATTGTTATATTATAACAACTTCCAGTAAACTGAGCTGCTGGAAAGAACCTCCCAGGGCTTGTGAAGGGACCCGGGGATCCTCAAGACTCTGCTGCTTGCTTTTTGTTTTGCTGCTCAGAGCAACTAAATTCCATCATGGGTAAAGGAAGTTTATTTTAGTTATGAGCCCCCCACCCAGCAAAGACAACCGTCACTTGCACAGCTACTACAGAATCTTTTAAGTCGTCTTGGATGCATGTTAAAAGCATGTGCCATCTGGGCCAATTAAAAAAAGTTAATTAATTAAATAATTAAAAGTTTCCCAGCAAAGGTTAAAAAAAAAAGCTCTGGCTGCAATACTCACCTCTGGCTCCCTGCTGTAATGCCTTTTCACCACTAGATGTCCTCGAGAACACTGAGTTTCAACCCAGATGACTGAAAAAAACACACTGCAAGTGCAGGGTGTCAAGACCTGCCCACTGAGGGGGTGCCAAAAATGTAAAATGCTGCATGTGGGCCCTCTAGAGAGTATGAGGGGGGTGGGGGTGGAGGGGAGGAGACTAGGGGGCTTCAATGGAATTGTGACTTAAAGCAAACTTTTTTTTACATTTTGGATAGCGTGGGGGAGAGTTTTAACCACTGTCAGTATTTTTTTAATCTATGTCCCACTAGTAAGATTTCACTTCCTGTCCCACAGCCACAACAGGAAGTGAGAATAAATCTCTCTTAAGTGAGGGAAATCTCTGGTTGTCACCAGAACTGGTGTCCCCATTGGAAGGTTTCCTCTTGACAACCCAAAAGTAGGGTATTTATTTTTCACTTTCACTACTGGTGATAATGGTCATCGGGAGACCCTATATGGGGTCACAGACGGCAATAAAAAACCTGGCAGGTGTTGTAATAATCCCTCTCCACCCTATCCAGAACTAAGAAAGAAAAATGTCACTGTGCTACTACTTTAAAATCCAACTCCAGCCATTTTGTAAAGAATTTGGGACAGAGTTGGGGAAAGTTGGTTTTTAAACAAATTGTTTTATCTTGATTAATGGTTTTAATTTTTTTTTTTTTAATGTCTGCATGTGATTTTACCCCTCCCTTCCTCCCCAAACCCTATTGGGAAGATTTTTCCACACTTCCTGTCCCGTTGATACAGGCACAATTGCCTCCGGGGACATGAAGGCATGGACTGCAACAAAAACATTTTTAAGAGGTTCTAATCTTTCTGCACTCTACTAAAAACGTTCTTTGATTTTTGCCAGTGCCTGCGTTGGAGAGATTTTCCATAATTTCCTGTTCAAACAAACAATGAGGCGATAAAAACCTGATAAGAGGCTCCAACCCTTCCCTACACTATCCAAAATATCATTAAAAAGTTTGGCTGGAGATGATCTTTAAATACAATTTCTGAACGAAGAACTGTAGGAGCTGAAACTTCTCCCTTAGCTTTATAGGTGTACAGGCTCCTGGGGCCACCATACTGAATGTGCCTTGGCTGCCTAGTGAGACACTGTCCTGAAGCAAGCATGCAGCCAGTGAAGACTGAAAAGCCTAACTTCCCATTCTGCATGACTATTTCAGGACCGCATCTCAAAACCAGGATCAGAATGGCAGTCCTGGGGACTGTACCTTTTTTTAAAAAAAAACAGGAATGGGCGCTCCCACGTGTCTGTTTTCACTTTAAGTATAGTATAATGCGAACGGTCCAGAGAAGGGATATTGTGTCATTACTACAAAGAGCTGTTAAGCTATGAAGTCCCTAAGGTTTTGCTATTGCAATAACGTTCAGCAAGAACAATATATGCAGGAAACTGAGCTATGGATTCCCAGAGAATGGAGAGGAAACGTAATTCTAATACATCTATCAATGGAAATCTCAGGAGAGGCTGAAACTTATAGGGTAATGTGCGTTAATGAAGCCCAGTGGTGTAAGAATAGCCATGGAAGTCCCCAAGGCTACTATGGGGCCTGGGGGTGGAAGGGGGCCCCACTGGGAGGGCTGTTAAGGGGGTGATTAAAACATAGAAAATGTGTGTGCATGTGAAGGTGACGCAGATCTATCGCTGTAATAGTAAAAATAGCCGTACGCGGTGAAAATCTCTTTTTGAACTTTTACATTACATTGAAAGCCGGACCGGCTACTACAGAAAGGAATCCCAGACATATTAAGCAGATTTTTTTTTATTGCTCATGAAAATTAATTTAAAGCCCATTTTCGGGCAAAGTATCCTTGTAGTAGGGCTACCCCCCTGCACTGCAAAGGTGAGGTTCTCCTTTTTGTTCTAGGCAGGGGTGGGGAACCTCAGGCCCTCCAGCTGTGGTGAAACTACAAATCCCATGATGCATCTGTCTCTGGGAGTCATGCCTGTGGATGTGAGAATCTTGCAATGCCTCCTGGGATTTGTAGTTTCACCACAGCTGGATTGCCGGAGGTTCCCCACCCCCGGTTTAGGTGATTAAAGGAGAACTATGAGGTGGGTGCTTTTCACTCACCTCATAGTTCTAGCCGACCTGTGACAATGAGACTGTCACAGGTCGGCTCAGTAGATCGGGAGGTGAGCGAACACATACCGGCGTTCGCTCACCTCTCGATCCTGTCACGGCTCTCGGCCGTGACAGGGGAGGGGCTGGATCCCCCCCTCCCCGCTCTGATCCGCCAGCGCTGACTGGTGGAACGGACGGGGTAGGTGGCGGGTACAGCTGGCTCTGCCTCTAGATAGGCAGAGTCAGCTGTCACTCAAGCAGCTGGGCGGATCTCGACATCGATGCCGGGATCCGCTCCGGCGTCTCAGTATGCTCGCGGTATACTGAGCTTAGGGTAACGGGTGGATGCTAGTTTGTGTCCTCCCATTACCCTAAGGAGAACTATGGGGAAAAGCCCTGACCCCATAGTTCTCCTTTAAGAAAAAAGCAGATTTACTTAAAGGAGAACTATGAGGTCAGTGTTTTTCCCCATAGTTCTTCTAAAGGTCACGGGAGGACACAAACTAGCATCCTCCCAAAGCTCAGTATATTGCGACTGAGACGCCGCAGCTGACTCTGCCCATTGGGGGCTTGGGCTAGAAGAGTGGTGGAGCGCCAGAGCTGGGTCCCAGCTGCAGCCGCTGCAACCCTGGTAGTTCTCATGAAAATGCCAAGTATCGGGTGCATCCCTATTACAAAGGTAAGCAAAGGGGGTTCCCAGATCATCAGGTTACCAAGAAAAATCAGTGGGGTTGACAGTGGTAATGACTGCATGGAAAACTACTGACCAGGTAAGCTGTATTCCCTGTTTTTCATGTTTGATTACGGGGTACAGTAAAGTTTTATAAAGACCACCACAATGTTTGCAGACCAACAGGTGGCCTCTTCTCAAAGCAAAGGTACGAGGCCAAATCTGTACAATGCACCGATTATGCAAATGTGGTATTTTCTTCAACTGAGCTGTCGGGGAATGAACGAAGGCTCTTTTGGATCACGCAATGTGAACCTGTTCCAGTAAAGACACAAAGAAAAGCTTAATTGCAGTAACCAGGAATTCCAACTCAGCAGGTTCGGCCTTTTCATTGTATTGCAGGAACGCTGCCCTGTTTTTGCTGGATTGTAAAGGAAAACAAGTGCGCAATAAAGCAACCCTGCTGCTTAACTCTTTCCTGACCAGAAGTCATTAATTGCAAATTTAACAACGTCATCATGTGTCTGCTAACTTAACAATAACTCTATAGAAAAACGATTTATATATGTGAATTAGACAAAGTACTTTTTTCAAGAGACATATAAGGCATTTATTGAGAACACTGCTTTATTACAAAAAAAAAAAAAACCTGCTCTGTCCATTATAGGCTGATAAATGTACAAAAACAGTAAAAAAAAATCTTACTTATACATTTTGTAACTATTATTTTTAATAATGCAACTGTATCTGACAGTTATATTAATAAATGGCATTGAAGATTAATGCTGCAGCCTAAAGCTGGCAATATTCATCTGCGGGTATTCATCTTTATCATTGAAGCCCCCAGCCTCTATATCAGGGGTAGCCAAACTCTGGCCCTCCAGCTGTGGTGGAACTACAAATCCCATGAGGCATTGCAAGTTTCTCACAGCCACAGACATGACTCCCAGAGACAGATGCATTTGTAGCTTTGCCACAGCAGGAGGGCCAAAGGTTCTCCACCACTGCCCTAGACAAAAAGGAGCACCTCACCTTTGCAGTGCAGGGGGGTAGCCCTACTACAAGAATACTTTGCCTGGAAATGGCCTTTAAATACATTTTCATGAGCAGTAAAAACAAAACCTGCTTAATATGGGGCCGGAATTTGGCTACCCCTGCTCTATATGATCAGAAGTGACGTAGTGGTCACATGATCGTGAAGCACTTTGATTGGTGACCGATAGTCAGTGGCAGTGCCGGTGCTAGGATTCTTGCCTACACAGGCAATGTGCATTTTTGCGCCCCCCCCCAAACCTCCTTCCCCCCTCCCCGAACCTCCTTCCCCCCTCCCCATTTGCCGGCGACTGCCAGAGGTGCCGCGCGTGTCGGGAGCCTCTGGCAGTCGCCGGCCAGCTAAATTAGGACCCCACCTGGAGCTCCTCCCACCGGACCAGCGCTGACTCGCCGCTGCTCTCCCGCACCGAAGGTAAGTGAAAAAAAACAAAACATAGCGCAAGCATCGGGGCATTTTGGCAAGTACAAGTACTTGTCAAAATACCCTGTTTTTTCCGCCCTCACCCTGCAGTGCCCTGAGGCAGCCGCCTGACTTGCCTTGCGGTAGCGCCGGGCCTGGTCAGTGGGGCTTGAGAGCCAGCAGCCACATAAAATGTTGGCTGCATGCTCTCCGAGAGGAGGACATTTAATAACATGACCCCGTCACGGGGCATTGTCTTGAGGAATGTTAATAAACAGACTGCAGGTGGGAGGAAATGAAACAAACTTTATTTAAAATGCTGCACCTGCGAAGGCGCAAATACTTACCTCTCCTGATGTCGCTCCAATGCTCAGATGGAAGTTTTCTCTGAAGCCGACAC